CGCGGTGCGGCGGCGCCAGCAGGGAACCGCCGCTACGCGCCGCACGCGTCAAGCGGTGTGCCCGGCGACCCGCGGCCGGGCATTGTCGTCACAATGTCCCCCACCGTGTGCAGGGCCATAGAGTGGGGCACAGTCATCTTGGGGTACGAGGTGGCCACCAAGTACACCGTACATGATGAGCACGGAAATGTGAGAGGGGGGGCCCGTCATGGAGGAGGGCGCAGGCGGGAGGGCCGCTGGTTGGGAGGGTCAGGGATGTCCCCCGCCAGCTGGCGCCCAATCTACCGAGTGGGGGATTTGGGGGGGGGGAGAGGAGGTCGCGGCGCCAAGGCGCTGGCGCGAGCGAGCAGAGATGCAATAGGTTCCAGGGGGAACAGCTTCTCATCCCCTGGGCCCTGCAGCACGCGCAGCCGCGTCGCCCGCATCTCTCAGCAAGGGCCCCCTAACAGACCTGTCCCCCCCGCCTCACCAGTCAGCCCCCTACCCCCTCCTCGCTTCCGCCACCATCCCTCAGGTTGTCGCCCTCATGGCGGAGGAGGAGACCGGCCTGGGAAACTTCCTGGCGCGGCAGCTGCTGCGGACGCGCCGCGCGTTCAAAACCACAGTGTTCAGCCCAGACGGTGAGGCGGGGACTGCGGGCGGCGTGGCCCCAGCAGCTCGGCGCCGCCTGTGGGGCACGACGCGGGATGGGCCGAGGGGTGGTACGATTGCGGCATCCTTGGACATGTTACTGCTCATGTTCTCGTTGGCTGCAGCATCTCTGCGAGCCTACCGAATGTTTTTGACACGACAATTCAATCCGACCTCAACCCCCTCGCGGCTTCCTGTTCCGGCCAGCCGCCGCCGCCCATCGCTCTCTCTCATCTGATCAAACTCCCGCACCTGCATATGATTGCCGTGCCCGCCCGGACTCGATTCCGCCCTGCCCGCCGCCCCGGCGCCCCGCCCACGCGCCGCCCCCAGGGTCTGAGGTGCTCTTCAAGGTGCACCGGCCGGCCTACCTCATCAGCAGCAGCATGACAGTCCTGGACTGCGACGACCGGCCCATCGGGGAGGTCAGGCAGCGGTGGCACCCCATAAAGCGCAACTACGACCTGTGAGAGGGGGGGGAGCCGCCGCACCTGCGCTGCTGGGCTGCAGCACGGGCTGCCCGCTTGATGGTTTGCATGCGGCAACACAGTGTGAAAAGTTCAGCTTCGCAAGCTTCCTCCGCCTGTGTGTGTGTGTGTGTGTGTGTGTGTGTGTGTGTGTGTGTGTGTTTGTGCGTGTACTTGGGGGCGGGAATGGAGCAGATGATGTTGCTTTGGCTGGGGCCCCTCTCAACGCCTGGCCCCATTGTCTCTAAAGCAGCCACTTCAGCTGCAACCCAGTCAATTCACCAGCGGATTGTCGCGTCGCGCTGAATCATATCTGACCCCAGCCGTCCCAACCTCCAACCCCCGCCGCCCTCGGCCGCCGCCCCGCAGCTATCTTGACAGGCGCCAGATGGCGGCCATCAGTGGGTCGTTCCTGGCCTGGGAGTTTGAGCTCAAGGATGCAGCAGGCAACACCATGGCCCTCATAGACAGGTGATGCAGAACAGGGGCGGCCGGGGCGGCCCCGGCGGCCGTTCGGGGCAGCTGCCCGGGCGCACGGCCGGCGGCCGGCCTGGCGCGGCCGCGGCGCCCTGTGGCTGCGCGGGCTTGCGGCCACGATGGAACGCGTGGTGTGTCTGCAGGCGACGCGACGCAACGGCGCCAGCAAGTGGCCGTGACGGCCCAAATCCTGATTTAAAATCAAGCACAACTGCCCCCCTCTGACCTTTCTCACATTGTTTGCCTTGAAAAGCCTTGAAGCAATCCGCAACACGCTTCACGCATCGCCTCAACGTACCGTCCGCCCTACCAAACCTGACTTGCATATCTCAGGAATTTCCAGGGCTTCGCAAAGGAACTCTTCACGGACGCAGGTGGGTGGCGCTGCGCTCATGGCCGGCCCCCATCTATCCTCGGCCGGCGAGCGAGCACCACTCACCCGCACTGCCCCGCACCTCACGAACACCGCCCTCGCGCGTCGCGCCCACGCGCCCTCACCCGCCAACGGCCTGCCGCCCACCACCTCGCGCCGCCGACCACCCATCAGCCGCCTTGCTCCCTCGCGCCTCTCCTCCCTGGCAGGCAAGTATGTCATCCATTTTGGGTTCAAGCCAGAGAAGGCGGCGGAGATCACCCAGACCACCCTGGAGGCACGCAGGTAAGCTCAGCCCCCTTGCTGATTGCCTGATGGGCAGTGCAACATGTGTCAGCGGCTGACAGCACACACACACACACACACAAGCAGTAACCCCGGGATGCTTGATGCACTCACTCGCCTAGCAACTGACATCCCAGCGCAGCACCAACTTGAATGATTTTGGTTGGTTTAGTTGGTTTGGTTGGTTTTTGGTTGGTTTGGTTGGTTTGGTTGGTTTCTCATAGACAGCAGCACACCTCGGTAC